TGCTGCCGCATTAGTCATGATGCGGCGTGAGGAAGCTGATAAGCGTGGTTTGAAACCAAGAATGAAAGTGGTGGATTGGGCTGTTGCAGGGTGTGAAGCAGCAATAATGGGCTTTGGACCCGCACCTGCGACTCGTCGTTTAATGGAAAAACTCAACATGGATGTAAAGGATGTTGATCTTATCGAACTAAATGAGGCGTTTGCTGCACAAGCTATTGCAGTCATGAATGATTTATCGTTAGACAGTACTCGAGTCAATGTTAATGGCGGTGCGATAGCGTTAGGTCATCCAGTTGGCGCAAGTGGAGCAATTTTACCCGTTAAATTAATGTACGAAATGGAACGCCGACAAGTGGCTACAGGCTTAGTTACGATGTGTATCGGTGGTGGTCAAGGGATATCAATGTTGTTCGAAAAAGAATAAGAAAAACGGCAAGCAGAAAGCCCGACGTGGGGCGTCGGGCTGTTGCTGAAGTAATAACAACAGGTATTGGTCACTTATTGCGAAGAGCCAATCCTGTTTCACTGCAACATGAGGATCTTATCTATGTTTTCTACAAATGCAAAGTTAGATTATGCCGCTCAGGGTAAAAAAACGAATGCCAAGATATATCGTAATCTGATGCCATTACTGATCTTGGCTTATATTATTAGTTTTATTGATCGTACTAATATAGGAATGGCAAAGCATGCCATGTCGATTGATCTTGGTTGTCCGCACGGCTTTTTTTTTTTTTTTGTTGTATATTTGGTTGATGGCGCCTGGATTATTATCTTTTGACCTATTGATTCTTGAGATCCAGCAATCCTTATTATGGAAAAGTCGGTGCGCGTTTTTGGATACGGGATCATGATCACATGGGGGTTATTTATCTGCGCAATGGCATTTGTGAATGGGCCAACCTCGTTTTATATTTTACGTTTTTATTTCTCGGGCGGCTGAAGCGGGTTTCATACAGGGTTATTTGTATATGACTTATTGGTTTAGCCAAGAAGAGCGCGCTTAAGCCACAGGGTTATTCTTTATTAAGGCGTCTTGTTTGCCAATATTATTGGTGCGCCATTGAGCGGTTGCGCTGGTATGGACGGTTTATTCGGTGTTCCATGGCTGGCAATGGATGTTTGTGATTGAAGGTTTACCGGCCGTTATTCTGGCTTTTGTGGTTTGGTTTGTGTTACCTAATAAACCTGAAGATGCAAAATGGTTGGATGAAGATGACCGTAATTACATCAAATATAAGCAAGAACAAGATAAAAATAGTATTAGTGTAAGTAATAATAAGTTCTCGTTGATTGCTGCATTCAAAAATAAAGCTTTTATGATGATTGTGGCAATTTATTTTACTCACCATTCCTCTGTTACGGATAAGTTCTTCTCTTACGACGATATTGGCGAATATGGCAAGCTAACACATTCCAATTGGTTTATACAAGCAATTCCGTGGATCTTCGCAGCGATTGGGGCATCTTTGTTGCTAGAAAAGCAATCCAACGTCGCTCATCGCGTATTTGATTTCAGGTTATGGCAGTGATGGCTATTGGTTTAGTGATTGGGGCGATGGGGGGCCTGTTGTCGGTTAATGGTTTTTGCTTAACTGCTTTATGTTTTGTTGGTTTCAAATCGATATTTCTCCTTCCCTCCGACTTTAATGAGCCGGCAAGTATGTTAGCCGGAAGTTTGGCATTACTGAATTGCTTAGGAATTATTTGGGGGTCCTTGGCCGTTTATTTCTTGGTTTTTTCGAAGACTATACGGGACTGCGACGTCTGGACTATGGTTTCGGTGTTGGGCTTGCTCGTGATAGGAACTTTATTGCATCCGCGTGAATACCATGGGATGGCGAAAGTCCAAACAACGGAAGTATCAATCATTAGAGGCAAAGTATTTCAATATCGCCATTTAAATAGGAAGGTCTGCATGAAAATTGTTATCGCACTTGATTCCTTTAAAGGAAGTTGTTCTGCTCAGCTGGCATGTCAAGCTGTTGCCGAGGGTTTCGAGCGTGTATCCTCCGAATTGGATGTGACGTTATTACCCATATCTGACGGTGGAGAAGGTTTGTTGGAGTCACTAGAGAATAGCTCCGTATTATCTGGTGTAACGCCTTACATATTTAATTGTACTGGACCTTATGGCAGTCAAGTTGATGCACGGCTCTTAGTATTAGAAGGAAAAACAGCCTTTATCGAAATGGCTCAATGTTGTGGCTTAGAGCTTGTTCAACGAGATGATCGTCAAGTGGAAAAAGCATCAACATATGGCTTGGGAGAAATGGTAAAACATGCTCTTGATTTAGGCTGTAACCGTATTGTGATTGGCATAGGAGGAAGTGCAACAAATGATGGCGGTGCGGGTTTCGCTCAAGCACTCGGTGCAGAGTTTTACGATGAAAACCAACAACTGATTGACTCTCCAATCTGTGGTGAAAAATTGATTGATATCGCTAAGATTAATTTGGATAAATTCGATCAGCGCACCGCTAATGTCGAATTTAATGTATCTTGTGATGTCGAAAACCCATTATTAGGAAAAAATGGTGCAACCTATATTTATGGCCCTCAAAAAGGGGGTGATAAAGCGACGTTAGATAAACTTGAA